CACTGATACTTCTTCACATGGTATGGTGGGTCCATGGACACCAACTAACAACATATTTGAACCTGTGGTGCAATAAGATAATGTTACTGGATAGTAGTGACTGGTCCAGAACAACAGGGTCACCAACCAAAGGGGCTTAGTTTGGTTTAGTTGTGGATAAAATCAAGAGTCTCTGAAGCCTGCCTCTGCCATGTTCAACATAGAACAGCTTCTTATTGAAACTTCTGGATCAAACCCAACTATGGTGTCTGATACATCTCACACCACCGGACATAATATATGTTGGCTCAACAAGGGCAGTTTCAATTAGCAATAATCGCGCCTTGGATTAACCTCAGTGGCTATGATACTGCCACTGTGCAACTTCTGTCCAAGTGATGACAAGATGTGGGAGAGCCAGGTTTCATAGACATTAAAGTTTTGCTTTAAAAAACATATTTCAAGCTGTTATACACACTTGTAACTAAGGCTGTCCTACTATTTCCATGGTAAAAGCTTCCTTTCTGGAGTCAGGTCACTAATCAGGTTTAAGAATGTGCTTAGTAACACACATTTTCTATACAGTAAAGACCAAGTTTCACCTATGCTTCTGTATACATCCTTCACAAGATGCATAATGCAACCCACAAAATAAACCTTAAGCACGCAATTTAAAACACAAACAAACCAAACTTCATATCAGGGCTGTAGCCCTGCTCCCTTTGGGGCTTAGTGGAGTGCCCAACTATCAGACAAAACCCTGTCTAGACCAACAACTAATTACCTAATCTGGCCCCATTTGGTGGTCACTATGTACTTGTAATGGATACCTGAATGCTAAAGTTACAATTCTATGTTTTGAAACCAAATTATCCCCACAGCTTGTATCCCACACTACTTGAAAAAAAAGCCAAGGTCCGCTTCAAGGAGTTTCAACTTCTGTCCAGCTAACAGAAAAGGACTTGTTCTGTCTTACTCTCTAGAGAAGGATTTATGATTAGCTGGAAATTAATTCTTGGCCAATAAATTTCAAGTCTGTCATTCAGACTCATGCTGGACTCTGAACTGTATAGCAAACATGCAACAACCTTGAGATGACATTCTTGCATCCATACCTGCTTTGCTGCAATCCACAGAAAAAGTGCTTTTTTGACCCACAAAAGCCTTTGAGAGCCCTGCTCCCCTGGAGATCACTTTGCTGGCATCAGATGAAGATTTGGGAATGGCACTGTAGCACGTTTCTGTAGATGACCTTGTCACAGATTCCACCATGATTGAACTAGTTTCATTTGCACTGCCCGAGCTAACCAGTCGCTGGCCTAGGAGAAAAGATTGGAAAAAGTTGCAGGCATCTACTTTGTTAGGGCACATAGAAGGAAGTATTGAAAGAGTGAAAAGTCCTTATATCAATAGTCACATCAAAAAGACATTTCATTTGCATTGCACCATCAACTTCTAAAAGGTTCCAATTAGGAACAGGAATTCACTGGATTAGTGTGTGGTCTCTAGTATACCCCAGAATTTAAATTCAGCCAACAGTGAATATGAGACTAAATGCGGTGCCCATGTTCTTAAACAGAAAGAAAAAAACCTTTACTAGGATCATGATAAAAACAAAAAGGCAGTGACAGGACAGTTTGAGCACTCATCCCGCTCTTATTTCAGGCTCCTTCCACAGTAGGAGGCAGACAACTGAAAGCTCATAAGTATACAGGTATTTAGCAGTTCTATGCACACTGCACAAGTGACAGTTAAAGAAAATTAGACTCCTGTTCTCTTCAAACTTTATTTTGATTTGCAGACTGGGTGCTAGTTATACTTGCAAGCTATTTATAATTATATGGTACATAAAGCACCATTATAACTGGAAAAAATGGACTTACTCAGGATACAGACACATCCTAGGAGCCACCTGTCTGCTGAACTCTGTATACTAACTAACATTTGCCATGCACTGTGAAAGCAATAGCAACCCAGTGCTTAAGCAGACACATGATATTTCAGTTTTAGGAGTTAACAGAGTTCAGACTTCATGAAGTTTAGCTGACAGCTTAAAGGGAAAGCATTGTTGTGTTCACATCACTAAATGCCTTAGACTCGAGTCAACAGAAGAGTGGGTGCACATTTGGAGCAACTCACTTGGAAAGCAAAAAAGGTGCCCAAGTCTAGAGCAGGATAAAGAGTGTGCGCTTGTCTCAAGCTGTGTTATCTTGCACATGGCAGTTTTACGGATGGGTCAGCCAAGTCACTGGCAACATCAGAAATATGATCTTGCCTTCTGCATTAAACTAATTTTAAGCAGACAATGCAGGCACACAGTTTTACAGTATTAAACTGACAGCTTTAAAGTAACATTCTATGTAGTGCTCACTTTTCCTCAAGTTATTCTCTTTAATTAACTGAACTCAAGGTATAATTAAATCAATGTCAGCTACCAAATATAGGCGTCTTATATAAGAATCATCAACAAAAAACAAGTTATACTTTCAGAGCAAGGTCCAGTAAACAATGCATTTCTAAAAACTACAGTACATTTTACCCCCATCTCCCTTCTCATTTCTAATTCTTTCCCCATTAGCAGTTTGTCATTCAGTGAAGGACAAGCTGTAAAAGTAGGTGCACATGTACTGTCCAAATATTTAACCTGCTTTGGGATAAGATCTACAACACTAGTAGGAAAAATGCTTCATCCCTCATCGGTCAGCACTAGATTCCAAAAACAAGATTGATAAGGTAGAAATCTCCACAGCAATCAAGGAAAGCTAGTTAGGTGTACTGACAATACTATAGTTAGTATTTTTACCTGTAACTTTGGCCTTGAAAGGGCTGCCCACTATGTGGTTAGGTCCTCCATATTTAATTCCAATAAGATAGTTTCCTGGTGCCATGGGTGTATACATCACTTGGTAACCCTCTGGAGTTTCCTGGCAGTCCATTTTGACTTTTGATGGTCCTTCAATTGTAACAGAGAGGGTGCCTGGACCAGCTTTGGTTGTGTTTATGAAAAACTCTGACTGTAATCCTGAAAGGAGGTTCAGCATAAAAACAATAATGTCTCATGTTCTACTTGAATGCTACAATATTTGTACAATTAGACAGGCATAAACCAGGAATTTATGATATCAAAAGGCAAGATCATGGTGTTGTAAAGCCCAGTCCCATCTTCCAATTGGCATACTGAAGAGTCTTCATTCTGAACTTCCAGTTATCTGAACATAAAATAGACTAGAGACAGGAGGCAAGGATCCTGGGGCCCAGACTCTACTGTCCCTCCAGGTTCACAATGAAAATTAACATTCATTCCAGCTTTATACCACTGCAAGCAGCACTCTGCCCACTGAATGCATTTTGTTTGCAGAACGACTGCTCCAGACTTTACAGTAAGAAGTTGCTGTTGCCACTTCCAATTCTTCCTTTGCCTGTTTTCATGTGAGCAAGAAGCAAGGCAGGTATTTGAGAGCTTCACTGGAAAATAATTTTGGGTTTTTTCCCCTTTAACTAGCCCATCAGCATTAAAAGCTTTATATTTAAAATGCATTCCTATTTGTAGCCTATGTTGAGGCGGCTTTGCTTCAGTGCTAGATAAGCGTAAATTTTCTAATCATGCAGTGAGATTTTAACTGTAAACTTCTTAGTGAAAGAGCCAAAAGGTGGTTGTGGGGGATGAGGAGGAAAGGAGTTGATGGGGTAAGTGAATCATACGTGATCAGGATAAACATTTGGAAATGGCTCTTACAAAATGGCAGGGTTGTTCAGACAGTCTGCTATAGTGGAAACAAACTTGATTTAAAATTGTACCTCGAGTTCAAAATAGTACATCATTTGTGTTAGCAGCAATAGTACAATGCCACTATCAAGGTGATGTAGAAAGCTTTCTTCAAAGAAGGCTTTCAGTCTTTCAATAGACTACTGTCACCCTTGTATTTTTCAGTAATTACCATCTTGAAGCAGTTATGGCAGAGCTGACCATAAAAAAAGTTGTTTAAAACATTCACAGAAACAAGAATGTTAAAAAGGCAACTAACAGACTATGAAAAGTGACTATCAATTGAAGCTACAGGGACTGCTATAAAAGCTTGGCAGTAAATGGTGGAGAAAGTTTCTAGTCCCCATTCTCCTCCAGTAGAAAGCAAACATGGTCAGCAGAACGTCTCTCCCAGCAACTGGCAGAACACAGAAAGTCCAAGCTTCTGTGGAAACCACAGAGCCTATTTTAATCTGGCATGCAGCAGCTAGTACTGGGTTCTCCTAGAAAGCCCCTGACTACTCCAACTCAGTTCAAATATTGGATTACAGAGCATCTCTCACACACACCATCAGGAAGAGAGACAGATGGAATCAACCAACCTTCTCCAGGCACATGGTGTAATTCCTATGCAAGGGAAACACCTGGATATTAAAATGGCAGACATGTTGAACACCTACAGAATTGTACATTAAATAACACTTCTTGCTTTCTACAGCAAACAAGTATCACCACCAGTCAGTCAGTGTCTCTTCATTCCTGAGAGCACTTTTCCTGGGACCTTATCATCCTTACCTTGAAGTAATCAATTTACACCCACCAGCAAAAGAATTCATTTTTCTTTCTCTGCTTGCATATCTGCGTGTTACACCACTAACTGTCCCCCAGCATCCAACTCCTCTCCAGAAATCAGCAAATTCCAGGTAAAAGTAACATTTCCTTTTCCTTATTCACATGAGGCATGGTGTAGGAAGCAATTGCTGTATAAAGGGACTAGTGAAGATTTTGCAATTCATACCTCCTAGTTATCAGACGTACTTTAAAAGCAACATTATTGTACAAAAATTCTGCCAGACTTGTTCCAGGAGTCCCCAGGCCAATATGAACAGTTTGGAATAGCCACAATTTGATAAAAGGGCCATTTGATCCCAATTCTCCAGAGCCAACTGATACATTTCAAATAAAAAAAAACAACACCTTTATGGATGGAAAAAAATCCAACCTGATCTGTCAGCAGCCAGCATCAAAGTAGGCTGTTTTATTTCCATGTGTTGAGCCAACTTTGAGCATGACTTTGTCCCCCACTGGTTACATTGCCAAGAACAGCATTAGCAGACAATTGCTGCTATCTGCATTATACTTTTCCAGCAACAAGTTATTGCAGAGAATCCGCAGCAGAGGTAGAGAGAGAGAGAGAAGGGGGCTGGCAGTAGTGACATCACTCTGCATATCAGAATGAAAAGCTAGTTTTACTTGGCTACCTACCAGCATGTATAGACAGTTTAAACAAGCAACCAAACATAAATCAAGATACAAAGATACTCCTACATTTGTATTTTGTTAAGGAGGGTAAGAAGCTGAATTCCAAAAGAGTACAGACACCTTTTTCATTTGAATGACTGTTTAAAAGAAGCTGACAATATCTGGATAGATGGGAGGGCAAGAACAGAAACACTGAAGTGCCAGACATATATTAAAAAGGAATAGTTATGCAAGATTTTACACAACCACTCTATCTTTCCAAATATATTATGCACAATCTAGGAATGTCAGGTCTCCCTCCAACTCTTTCTAAAGTATAAAGGCAAACATTTCAAAATTTTAAGCTTAATGTTAGAAGGCTGCATAAATGTGAACGGATGCTTGTAGGTGGTTCTCCGCCAATATAATTTGAGAAGTAGCTTAATGAGACTGGGTGGATGACCAAATCTAAGCCAACAGCCAACTGAATATTTGCATTCAGTACAGTTAAGAGAAGTTTCTGGAGACCCAAGTTTTCCTTTTTACAGGCTCATTATCCTATCTATAAACTGGCTAAAGTTAAAGTTTTGAAGTCTGATGGTTATAGGCTAAACTGGCTTCAGAAAGGTTTATTTTATTTATTTTTTACTAACTGGAATAGATGCCCATCCCTAGTGCAAGATAAAAATCAGTGAGTGACTATCCATGTATCTTCTAAAAGACTTGAACAGAGTTTTAAATGCCTCTTAAAAAGACCCCTTCATCTTCTCTAGAGTTCTGCATACCTCATGTGTATGAGCTTCACATGTGGGAACGAAGCCAAAGCATTTCCAGAGCTCCAAGGGACCACCTAGGTTGAACTGAGCTAAGTTAAATTGGCACAGATCCTTCATGGAGTTGCTAACCTACTCCCATGAATTTGTGCTGCAGTAACCAATTTCCCAAAATGTATTAAAATACAGTATCTTTGTAGTCTTGCAAATTGCTAGCTGCATCCTCCTACCTCTTGGGTCTTATGACCAGGCCAACAAAGGTAAAAACAAGAGACACAGTTTAACTACCCAGACAGGTTGGAACTACATTTTAAGACTTGAGATTAAAACAAATTACAAGATGTAGCTCTCTGGAAGAGCTGGGAGAGAATTATTCAGGTAAGCACTATACGAAAAAGTTAAAAGGCTAAAGAACCTTAGGAGAGAGAAAAAAAAGTTACCTGTGATGCCACTCTCCAGGCCTGGCCCGTATGCAGTAACAAGGGCTGGATTGCCTGCTTGTCCAGGCTCTCCAACTCTGACTTTAAAAGGACTACCCACAACATGGCTGCCATTAAATTTCACATCAATCGAGTGAATACCGTTTTCATGGGGGATGAAGCGAACAGCATATTTGTCTGCAAGAAAAAAATTGCGTATTTGATCCAGGAATGATGCCAGTAAGAATATTAACACATAAGGCTGCATTGAAATGCAAATACAGCTTTATATCATTTCAGTAAGCTTTGGCCCCATGACAGACAGGTTCAGTTACACTAGTTATTCTTCTTTTGCATCAAGGTAAGACTTCAACATTCTCGGTTAGGACAGCGAGGCTCAGGCATAATTTCCCTCATCTTGTTTACTTAGTGAGGGATCTTAACTGCCAGTTGCAGTACACTGTACAAAAACACCCCCACACATGTACATTTCTTCAGTCCTCTACTTCATGCATAAATTGATTTAGACTAGCACTTGGATACATGGACCCACAAATATATGCCTGAAAATAGAACTAACAGAACTTAAAAGCTCAAAAACTTGCGATCCATTTTGCATCTGGAAATGGGAAGCAGAATTCTTTGACTCTAAAATTTACTCTGTTGTGTAACTTTAGACATTGAAAATTTTACATCTTGGAATTTCACATTTGATAGTCACTTAAATAGCATTTGTTTTATTTTCACATTAACCCCAGGGAGAAACTATTTGGCTCTACAGGTAAAATCCTAGTGCCAATGAACTGTGGAAGGGGTCCCACTGAACTGAATTCAGGACCACATGCAATCTCTGGGCATTGTAGCTGAGAAGTTATATAAATACAAGCAGCTTCTCCAGTGCCAATATTAACATGCCAACACTACTAATTACTTTGTAAACCTAACATCACATCTTTCTTGTAGTCATTAAAAGATATGAGCCCAACTACTGCATAAGGAAAAACTAAAATCAATTAAGTGGATGTGACACTGAACTTTGAAAAACATCTCTGTGTAGAAATCTATAAAACATTAGTCGATGGACAACAGATTAAAAATAAAGCTTTCTTCAGAGCTATAAGAAGTTATTTGCCCTGTAAAAATAATCTGTTTCTTTAAATCAGATTCAACTCATTCATCCAAACCAAATTTTCATGGAACAGTATGAAATTTATCACTAAAATACAGCACTGGTATTTAATGCATGTCAAAGACCTGCAGTAAAATCCCTTTCCTGGTGCCAGCACACTGCCAAATTCTTTTTTATACTGCTTGAATTAAATTGATGAGGCAAGAACCCACACAACCCTGATTTTAAAGCTACTTATTGTTACAATGCCAGAAAGTAGGCTTCTCATCCTTTGTCATCAAGTAACTTTTGTATCTTTTTTTTTAATATAGTAAACCAGAGCCATTCTGCTAACCAGCTACATTGTTACGCAAAGAAGGGGCCAGTTCCTATGATAAGGAAACTGGATTGTTCCTTCGGGTTATTATTGATTATGCACTGATATGCGGAAGTTTGTCCTGGTGTTACAATGCACTGAGGTTTCATTCATACAAGTTCTTACCTGGCTCCAGTTCAGAAACATGACATTCTTCTACAGCTCCAGAAGGGCTATGGACTTTGGCATCAATCTTGCCCTTCGCTCCATTGAGCCTTATAGCAAAGGATGCTGGCTGATTAACTTTTAATCCAGACTCCTGAGAATGCAAGGTTCTGATTACCAAATTTCATTTTCAGTTGAGGCACACCATTGTTAGACTCCTTACAGACAAAACAGCTCTTGATTTAAAAATAGAGTACTAAGAATCAAAAGGCATAATCAGTCATTTGGCAGGCAAAACAAATACGTAAGGCTCACAAGTGTAAGCAAGCTGGTAATGTTTTAAGAACTAGTAACTGAAACTAATTTATCTAGCCTTTCAGTTGTTAGGGGCTGGAAGGGTCCTTACAGATCACTGGATCCAGCCCCCCTGCACTTGGGCAGGAAAGACTGCTGGGATCTGATGACCCCAGCAAGGTGGGTGTCAAGACACTTTTTGAAGAAGGTCACCAGGGTGGGTGACTCCCTCCTCTGGGGGAGCCTGTTCCAAACCCTCAGCACTCAACTTGTAAAGAAGTTTTTCCTTATGTCTAGCCTGAAGCAATCTTCAATCAGTTTATGCCCATTGTTTCTTGTCCTCCCCTGGGGGGCCTTAGTGAATAGATGCTCCCCCAGGCCCATTAGATAAAGATGTCTTAAGAAGCCCAGTTATGCTTTCTAGAAAAAGCAAACAGTTTTGTTTATACCCATAACTGTCCTTAGTTCTGTACACCTACTGTCCTGGTATGAAGCAACCATTAACCCTTTTCCAAAGGAACCATGCATTGACATACCAAGGGGTATATCCATTCTGTGGTGTGCAAGACAAGATGACTTAAACTATACCTCTGTTTTGACTGTTATTTCAAGACTAGTTCAGGAAAGACTCAATCCAGTTATAAAAGTACATGGTTTTTCTCTTTACATGTACTCAAGATGCTACATTTTAGTGTACCAGAGTCTTAGATGACAATATTTAAAACACTGAACCGATGTTATTCCAGGCCAGACCAATGTTAGAAGCCTAAAAGCCAAATCCCAACTATGCATGCTTCATAGTTGTTATAATACAGCAGGAAATGTGTTCATGCAAAGAGCATACTGTACCTGTTCTCATTTAGAGATCCTGAAGAGGGGAATAAATGCAACTGAGCAGCATTTAAAATACAATTTAAATTAGGTTAACGTGTACCCATGAGAAGGCTAATACACCCTAGTACTGTTCTTTGAACAGCATGTGCCAAACATTCAGCTTTATCTCCCTCTTCAGGTCTTCATTAATTGACAAGAGCATTCCTGCCAGAAGTCTTTAAATGAAACACAAGAAAAACATCAATACCACAGTGACTAATTAACGCCCTTGTAACTCCTTGACTAGCAAATGCTAAAGAACTATTACTAGCACATCAGGTGTCAGCATTTTTGCTATGTAAAATGATAATTAAATTCTGAAGTCTAACCAAAACCTAATTAAACTAAGGAAGAAAGAAGGCTCAAGCCCCTCCCACACCAAAGACCCTCTAAATAAAAAGTGATTCTCAACTGAACTGCCAGGCCACCAGACCTTTTGAAGGGTGCCTTGGGGTACGAGATGAGCACAAGCTTAGGTCTGTCCCCACTGAAAGGAAGTTAGCACTAATCTATAAACCATTTTTGAAACTGGATGGCACTCAATTCACAAGCATTATGAAAGGCTGCCTCAAGTCCAAAAACATTGAGAACCACTGCCCTAACTTAACTGGGTAAACAGAGCTATAACATGAACTCCTGGATGCAACAGACACTTGCTTACTACTAATACAGTGGTATAGTATGTTAAAGCCTGGGTTCTCAGTCTCGTTTTTAGCTTGCCTGATTTTTTAGGTTTAAGTCAGATCTTTAATGTTCTGTGTATTAAAAATATGCATAACCACAAAAAAATGCATAAGTTAGTAAGTATAACAGATGAGCCCAGAATGACTACAAAGCTGGAATTCACTCTCGGAGATTCACTGCTGTTTTTGAACGATT